GTGCAATCCTTGGAATTCTCCAAGATAAGATTGCAAGTATTGAGGAACAACCACAAGCAAAGAGACAGCGACTTGAGAAAGTTCTATTATCTAAATGATAGGTAACATCACTAATGTTGGGAATAGTATTGCATGCAATAGTCTTCATATATTTCGCGTTGTCATTCTGAATATTTTCATATTGCTAATAAAAACCCTTATGGGAGAACAGACTTTTGTTCAATGGCATCATTTTTTCCGGAGTAATGTGTTATTATTTTTTTGTAACAAGAACTAGAACTATATGGCGTTTGTCATTCCGTTCATTTGTGTTATCAATTACCCAAACCTAAGCCTAATTAATCTGCAGCTCATAGAACAGTTTGTCGTTACAAGCATGCACATATAAGGATTTAATCCCAGTTACTTCAGTCCTAATTTCAGACCAGAGTTAAGACATTAAAATGTTACACTTGACGCGATCACACGCATGACACTCAACCTCAACTATAACTATGCCACATTAGCTTATTAGTATGGTTGGTAATAACACATCGTTAAACAATCTGTAAAGCAACTTTTGCTCTATTTGTTCATGGCAAGTGCCTCCGCTTAAAGATGAGGACACAGCAACATGTTTATTGGTTAAGCGTAACTTCTACCATTTTATGAGCATCGAAGGGTATCCAATTGAATAGAATAATCTGTAATTAACAGTCAAATTACGGCAGAAATGGCGTATGCGGCTTTGAATTTTTCCATATAGGCGCTGTCTCCTTCGTTTTCTGCACTCTCTCTCCGTATTCTCCATAATCGTACGCACACGTTTTGTGCTTTGAAGTAAAGTCTTTACATGCCTGGTTTCTTGGTGCACCTTGATGTATATTCGCGAAAATGCAAAATGGAACTATCCAATTTGTAAACATAAGATCAACACGTTCTTGTCAATACAATCGCAAATAAAGAAGTTCTTGTAGAATATATTTGCGCATGAATGAATAAGCATTCGACGTGAAAATTGTAATACTGATAGCTTTATTATAATTTGTCGTCGTCACTAGACATCACAAAAAGTCGGAAAAGAAAAGCTTGTGTTATTGTACCGATTAGTGTAGCTATACGCAAATTGTACCTTTATCTAATCATCACTTATATATGCAATCTTCATCTTCATTCTGTAACGTTATTTCTATACATGCTCTATATTGTGATAGAATATTTGTTAGAATCGACCGTCTTCTCGTTGATGATAAAACAACGCTCAAGTATTATCGCTGTGATCCAATTATTATAATACGATACACATAAATACATGATCCAGTAGTCGACTATTGAACTCTAACCTTCCTCATTATTATTATGATTCACGGAATGGGATATCTTGTGCCTCAAAAGCATCATAGCGTCTAAATAATATCATCAGTTTCATAGATCAATTAGTACAGTATGTATTCATCTTTGATGATAAAAGCGACGCTTAACCAATAAACTTATTGCTTCGTCCTCATCATTGGCCGTAAGTGAACCGTAGGCACTTACCATGTGAACGAAGTTGCTTTGCAGAGGATTAGAGTGTATGTTGTTTAACGTGTGATTTCTATTCGTTGCATGTTAGCGTGCGCAAGAAACTTATTTTACTCGTAAGAAATTAACCAATCATTATTCAGAGCAATTAGGAAGTTTAAGAAGTTAATTTCACCCTTACCTCAATCCCGCATTTACACTTAAACGAAATTCCAAGGTATGGTTATTCTTACAAGAGTTTTAGGGCGGGATTTAGCCTAAAAGCAGTGTTTTCCATAAGTAAACCGTCACCATCTGTGGAGCACGTTTTGTTCTAAACAAAGAATAATTTAAATGTTGACAAAAACAAAGTATCTTTCTAGACATAATATTACGGCCTGTTTGCGGTTAGTTGGGTTCACCAATCAATTGTTATTTGAATTAACAGGTTTTTTGGTGTCATCATCTTAGAAGTAAGCGTGGTACATAAAGTTTCACTGTGCTTAAAAGTGCGCAATATTTGTTAGGGCAACTCAGTTTGGAGCGGGTTATTTTGAGCAGTCCCTAATGTAAATATTGTTGTTGCAATTGTCCTGTTTATTAATTTTATCAACTTCCAAGAAAATTGGGCTGAAAGCGAAAGCACATTGATTTCGCAGAATAATTGTTTACATTCTTTGCTGGCTTAATCCGTGAAAATTATTATATTTTGAATTGGTTCAGAACGTAATAGTAATGGTTGGACACATTCAATATCACCCGTATATCGTTGCAACTTTACCTCAACATTCTGAACATAATTGGTATTGCTCCTATCAGTTCTGCCATCTTTTTACATGCTAATGTGGAGTAAACTGATAGTACGATTGCCTGCGTGGCGTTTGTCTTGTATCACATTTGTAATCTATTCTTTGAAACATATCAGATTAAGAAATACGATTGTTCGAACAAATTGTAGACCACGTGCATAAATTTCAGCGAAAAATTTCCCATCAAAAATATCGACTCTCTTTTACAGACATGCCACGGGCATCCAAATTGCGAAATAAACGAGATCGTAATGGTGACCGTAATGGTGACCGTAATGGTGACTCGGCAACGATCGATGATGGCCATGGAAAATTATCTCGTAAAAAGAGGATTGTGGAAGAGCCAGAACCAGAAAAGAATAAAATACAAGAGAAAAAGAAGAATACAAAAACGCAAATCAGAAAATCTGAAAACAACAATGTTCAGGCCGAGGTCGAAAAGGGAGAAAATAAATTAAAAAACAACATATTTATATCAAACCATTCAATAATTTCAACTGCCGATTTCCGTATAATAACTGGTAGTTATGAGAGGATATTATACGGGATAGATGCAAGATGGATCAAAGAGGACAACGATCAATCTGACAAAGTAATCACTTAGTGACAATAGAATATTTCGGTGTCTGTTCGGAGTATGCTTATTTGTATGTCTTTTTTATACGTGTATTTATACCTTGGTTGTTGAATTAGGACAAGATGAAATTACAGTTGGAGCCTCTTTTCATCTTTTCTGCTCATATCGGATACATAAAGACAGTTGCTGTTGGAGGAAGATACTTGGCATCAGGCAGCACGGATGAAATAATCAGGTGACTAATCGAATGGGAAGAGCAGTAGACATAATCAATATGGCAATAAATCATATATAAACTGTCTCACTGATCTCGATCCATTTTAATCCACTTCCCGCACTCATCCAATTCTAGAATCTACGACCTGAAACGACTCAGAGAACTTGGCTCACTCCACCATCACAATGGCTCAATCACCACACTATGCTTTTACTCCTCAACTCACATGCTCAGCGGTAGCGAAGACGGACTTGTTGCTATATGGCGTACAAAGGGTTGGGAGTGTTTAAAGAGCATGAAAGGACACAAGGGATGTGTGAACTCTATAGCTGTACATCCTTCGGGAAAGATGGCGCTGAGTGTAGGAAAAGATGGGGCTGCAATTGTTTGGGATTTGGTTAACGGAAGAAAGGGTGCGGTATGGAAGATTAGAAAAGGTAGGAACTGAAACGAGATGACGCAACATATCATCTTGGAGTGGGAATATTGAAAAAAAAGGAATGTGTTTAACGTCGTTAATCTGATCCTCTTGTAGAAGGCGAAGTTGTACTTTGGAATACATTGGGAGAGTTTTATGCCATTTTGTCAAGAAATGAAATAACAATATACAACGTTTCAGTAAGTATGAATAATCGACATACCCTAATTATTCCATTAGATCTCTGAACACTATTTTCGTTCCTAAAATCTCGAATAAAACGTCTTTAGGATGCCCAAGTATCTCAAACGATCACTCAGAAATCCATGTTTCTTTGTATGAGATACTATAAAGATGATAATGTAGATGAAGTCATTATTGCAGGAAGCGAGGATAAAATTGTCAGAGTGTTTGATGTGAAGACTGGGAAATGTATTGTAGAATTTTCGGGACATAAGAACAGGTTAGCAGGAGTGTAGTGTGCTTGCCAGAGAGGAGTGCAGAAGGATAAGCTATATGAGCATTGCTTACTAACATTTTTCCTTCTCTAACCGCTTTACTCGACCGCAACAAAGAATAAAATCCCTTGACATAATCCGCTCTACTCCGCCATTTCTTTCGGCTCCAATAACTCTTCTAGTTTCCATATCTTCTGACGGGATAGTCAATGTCTGGAATCTCTCTTCGGCGCTGGAAAAAATAAAATCAGACGAGGTGGTTCAAATAAATGAAGTTATCGGAAGTCACGATACGGAAAATAGGTTGATTTGTGTGGTTTGTGCTGAAGGTGGCGGGGAAAATGAATTGAGAGAGGGTGTTGGTGTGGGTGTGGGTGTGGGAAGGAAACAACAAGATGGAGGTGAAGAGAGTAAAGACATTGACAAAGATAATAAAGAGGAAGAGACAGATGATGAGAGCGAGTAGAGTAGTAAGGGAGGTTAACGTAGGGACTGGTTGTATAATGAAAATATTATATTATGACACTTGCTATGCTTTTAACTTCTCCACATTATAATAAATCAGTAATTAATTTACTTACCCAAGGCCTTTCCAAGTGATCCATTGCCATCGCTAATATTATTTGAGCCATACATAAAATTTAAATTGCATAGATTTATTTTATGTGAAAATAAAGGTACTCAAATCCGTACAAGGAAATGAGCTCTGATCAACATAAATTAACCCTTTATTTCCCACTCTTGTGTCTCTAATTCCAAACTACTTCATGTCATTAACGTAAAGCATGTAATACAAATTACCCACAAAAACTCTCTCAACAATTACTATGATTCTCGTCCGCCTTTTTTCTCCTCCCCCCCTTCAAATTTGTCGTCAGCAACAACAACATTAGTTTTGGCATTACTTCCGCCAGTCCAAACAAAGCACCCAACATCTAATTTCCTATTGTCCAATTTAACACCAAACTTCTCCGCGTATTCATCAATCATCTTTAAACTAACAAAAATAACTTCATTTGACTCTTCTTCCACTTCCCCATGAGTGTTCATATTAACATTAATGTTACTATGACTATTATCGCCAGAAGACTGGTCCGTAACCGGCAGAGGATCGCCTTTCAAGGAATCTTGAGGTGTCGAAGACACCGGAGAGACTGGCTTTGGCTTTGTGGGAGATGAGAGCGAGTTAGGTGGGGCAGGAGAAACAGCAGCGTCCGCCGAAGGAGGACAAGTCCCATTAAGAGAGGATGGTAGACGTTGTAATCTCCAATATTTGAGAAACCCTAGCGATTTCAGAGTATGAATGACATCGTCCTGGCGAATGCTGGTTATTGACGATAAGTCATTGATTGAGATTTGTACATGATTGTGAAGATCGTGATCATGAATAGATTGCCGTGAAAGCGATGGTAGTGAATCTGAAATGCTCGGATCTGTACCTTCCACTGACGGTACGCTCTCCTTGGTGTCATTACTTGAAACCGTACCCTTATCTTCTGTGCTGACTTTACTGACCACGATTTCTTCATTCACAAGTCCAACGGTTCTTTTGACGTCTTTGGTATTATTCTGCTGTTCTTCCGTCTTTCGTACATTAATTCTTAATTCTTTCAATACACTCAGTAAAGTCCGTGTCCAGTATGATCTATATGCGCACAGACCTAAATTCGATATGGGCCTCTCTGGTGTACCAACTCTTCCCTCCTTCTTTGACAATTCGTAGCCTTTTCCAGATAATCAAAGGTCGTACATTATGTTATAACCATTATGGGTGATTATTTGAGTTAATATTGAGCTTGTGATATTGCAATATTTTGGCATGTTAGAATGAAAGCTAGGGAATACTTACTAAGTTCTATTAACATTTGACCGTATCCTCTTCTCTGGTACGGAGGAACTGTTAATATGCATGCTAGATTGTAATCTTCGTAGGATGTTTTTTCCTTTTTTTTTTTTTTTGAGTTATTAATAAGTACAAGACAACTTGATTAAAAAAAGTTGGTATTGGAGCGAACATTGTTATACCTTGGAAAAATAAGCAACCACATGATCGATATGTTTATCATTCTCGGTAAGTACGTAGAACAGGAAAGGCTCCACATCAAAGAATATTGTCTTCTGATCGAGAAAGAATTTTGCCAAAAGAGACAGATTCTGACAATACAGCTATAAAATAACAAAAGTAGTTGAATTGTAAAGTCGAATGTGTTTGCATCTCTATAATGAGTCATACCTTATTTAGCTTCCCATCGACTTCGAATATTTTGTTTAATCCTTTTTCGTATATTTGTTCTCCTGGTGGACACTTCTTGTCACATATGTTCTAACGTATGACATAAACGAATTGAATCTCAGATGATAATGGCCCCGATGGACTCATAAGTATTCCACAAGTTTCTGATCCCAGGCTGAAACCATTACGTTTCCTGATCTCATCTATATCATCGTTACCCACTTTTTCAAACTCACCTCATGTCTTCCATATACTTCCTTTCCCTTCATATACTTCATACACTTCTCACATACATATAACTTTTTCACATTACTATACTCGTCCGGATACGGAGAATAGTACCATGTCTCTATCTCATACTTCCCAAATACGATGGTGTCCACATTCCGTGATGTTACACCTTTGATATGTGTTGATATAGGATCTGGCAAAGTCGCTGTTTGTGAGTTGGAGGAGGAAGGCGAGACGTCGGGAGGAGGCTGAGAGCAAGAGTGAGAACAAGAATTGGATTCAAGTGTTGGAGACGGAGAAGCTGAAGTCGGCGGTGAAGTCAGAGGTGATGGTATCCTTTTCTTTATTGAAACCGAGGATGGAAAAAGTTAGTAGGTAATAGATAGCAATATAGTGGAAAAAGTATGCAGGAAATAATAGACTTGGACAAAATAGTATAGGCTGAGAAGGCGTAAGTAGTTTTAAAGTAGGTTAACGAGCATTTAGGGAAGCAGAAGGTAAACCTCAATGAACGTTGCTCATTGCAGTGTCTGTTCAATCCGAAAGTATATGTCAGTATGACATTTGCATGCAACACTTTGACACGTCCGCAGAATCTTTTTTCTACTTTGATCCTCACTACCGTCCTCCTCTATAGCTCTTTCTCTCTGTGTATATATCCTCTCTCGCATATTCCTGGGGGTATTTCCATTTACCTTTCCACTAATTCGTCTCCTCTTCGCGACGTGTTCTGTTCGAGTTGGCGTGTCGACGTGTGCCATCGTGATTATTTATGGGTAAAGATGCACTTTTGTGGGATTTGTGGATGAAGTAGTATTAATGATAGCAACAAGCCAGTTGTAATGATAGTGAAAAGTAGTAATAGAAAAGGACAGTAACTATAATAATAATATGTTTGTTTAGCAATAAAGAAGTCTTTTCGCGAAATTATCGTTTGACATGAATCATATGATGCGGCTATGAGGTAATTGTACAAGGGGTTGACCAGGAGCCCGGAATAGAATTACGCTCGTAATGTAGTTTTATATCATGGCTAGCAAATTAAAGTAATCTTGGAGATGTGTTAAAAGTGTTGGCATAACTGGACGGATGAATCGCAGTGGAAAGGATTGCAGAGCACAAAGAATGTCAATTACAAGCATAATGGGAATGTATTAAGAAAGGATAAGCACACAATTACCAGACGATTGAGAGAGTGACTGGCCGGTATCAGCTTCCTGGTAACAATTGTTAATAGTAGGATTACCACGCGAGTCTTGACTGTAAACTATTTATAGCTTGGCAAATAAAGTCGTAGATAACGTAACCAGGTAATGGCGAGAAAAGATAGTAATAGGTCCATGGTCGTTGGAGTTAATATTTAGGCTCTGTATTTAATAGTTTTATTTTTAATTCAGCACCGAACGAAATGAATAATGGAGTAATCAGCAAGTCCTGTAGGAACATTAGGCGTATTATCCAATCGCTAATATCACAGTCAATCCATCGCAACTTATTAGCAATATTAAATTATTATAATATAACGCATTTCGCAAGCTTCATATTTAATAAGAACGGATTTATGTAATTCCCATAATGGCTTACACTACAAGAGGGAAAGCACTTCTGTTATTCCTTGAATGGGTGACTTTGTAAAATTCCTATTGCTAAGATATAAAGCAGTGACTGTCAATATCAAAGGTGAATAATTGGTCACAATGTTGGCAATGTTGTCGACTAAGAATATTTATAATATGGCAATCCACGTACTTGTGACCTGATCACAGTTAATACTGTCTATATAGACAAATTACACTGAGCAATCGAAAAAAAAAAAGTTAGAACTCGATTTATTATATTGAGGTAATTCCATGCAATCGTGGTTTTTGTTGTAGTATTTCCTAATTGGATTGTGTTGTTACGGTCTTATCGTCGATTTCGGGTTTTCTGTTTAAATTTCACGAATTATTACTAAAAGCATTTCAGTACTTCATATTTGGCAATGCCTTTCCAACCTTGTTCCCATAGCTTTTTGCAAATTAGAAGTACATCATTTTTTAGATACTACAGCGTCTTCTTTCCACAAACAAGTGCGAAATCGCGGCATCTAACAATCTTGGACCATTCATCATTGCTGTGACCAATGCATTCAACAGTATACGTCTATAAAGTAAACATGCTATTCAATTTTCCTCGAAACCGTTTTAAAGGGAACGTGTACAAAATTACAAACTTGAATCAGTTACATATCGCTAAGGTGACAGCACTATGCACAATAGCAAGACTAATAGAATTCCAAAAAATCTGTCCCGTGTGAATGTATAAACACGAGTTGTTTTCATCATCAATTCAGTAGGTTCTTCAAATTATTCTCAAGCGTTCAAACGAAAAGTTTAGGCATCAAAAAATGCAAAATAATTGGTCTGCTAGGAATCTTCAGAATAAGATAAAACGAGTGAATCGCAATATCTCATTTAGCGCATAGGATACCTGGTTTATCGAAACATTCGCGTTGTTAAATGATTCCCAAAATTTACTTCGCCCGTACTTCCTCAAATGGTTATGCTACAATGAATGGATAATTTTTTCACATATTTATTGTTAACTTCAACTGGTGTGGCCTTTACCAATTAACACAAACTTTACAAGGTCGTCATTCAACAGATTCAATATTTCACACACACACAATTTCCGTTGCGAACCGCCCTTCCATAAAACATAAGTTAACTGTACTGAAAGTTTCGCCCGCTTACATAATTCTTCTCTTGACAAGCATATATCGCATTTATGACTGATGTGAACGAACGAATGGAACAAACTCATATGAAACTTTCTTACTACTCAAACACATCCTAGTTGCATTTAAAATCGACCACATCGACATCGTGCACCAATTCTTATTTCGGAATCCTAATTAGTATAAGACTTGTTCAAAATTTTGAGTCACTAAATTATAAGACAACGGAACGAGGTTAATATTGTAAATTGACTTCACGTAACCAATTGCTGTCGTCATACCTGCAGCTGAATCCATATCATAGCTATTTCTTGGTTTAGGTAGATCTCCCGTAGGTAAGAGTGCACTAGAATATTTACTCTCCTTCTCGAGACGTGATAACGGTTTTCCATCATTAGGATAAATGGCATTCCATGTGTTGTCGTTTTTCACCTCTTTAAAAAGGTTGCCAATATCACTGCAAAGTGTCCCCGCATCAGGACGCTTATCAGGATCAGCATCACAACACCGCTCGGCAAGTTTCTTGTATTCCTCTGGTGCAGAATCAGGCATCGATGGTCGTAGTCCGCCCATGATATCACATACTAAATCTCTATCGAATTCTCTATCTCTAAACGGTGGTTCACCAGTGGCCATCAAATACATGATAATACCAAAAGAATATACATCTGATTTCTGTGTAAATTTGCTAGTATGAAAGACTTCTGGTGCAATAAAAGGTAAGATGCCTCGAATGGTTGAATTTGACTGACGTGAATTTACTGATCGTGAGAGACCAAGATCGCATATGAATGTTGTACTATCATGTGAAACAATGTTTCCGCCGTGAAGATCACAATGCACTAATCCTGCGTCATGAATACCATACAGATACCCTGCAATATTACTCAAATGTTCTAATTTCTCCCTCCACGTCAATTTGTTAATATTTTGACCCAAATAAGACAAAAGACTACCCTTATTAGCATATTGCATAACCATTATGTACTCTTTTGTTTCTGGGTCTTGTGTCACTCCATAAACTTTAAGGAATCGATAACCACTTGCGCACTTGGCATGATTTCTGAACTAATAAATAAAAACAAATACAATGTCAAATTAAATATTACTTTAATTAATACTAC